CACACCCCCCCACACCCCTCCTTGCCCCCTTACAAGTCCAGCTCCAGGTCCCGCAGTTCCTCCTCCAAGGCTTTCCTCCGGCCCAGCTTCTCCAGCTGCTCTTTCGTCGGCTGCTTGATCTCCCCGGAGTCGAGCCGTTGCTGCAGCTCCTCCACCTGCCGCAGCTTCTTCTTCAGATTCTTCACTTTCCTGCTCTTTTCGGCGACGGGGGCTTCCCCTTCGGCGGGGGCCCCGTTATTACCGCAACCGCTGTCCCTTTTGGGTGGCCCTTTGTCCCCTCCGTCGTCACCCCCTTCCAGGGAAGCTTTTTCCAGCGCCTGGATCAGTCCGTCCGTCTCCCTCTCCCCTTTTTCCTGCTGCTGCTTCCTCTTCTCCTTCCGTTTCAAGTTCCTTTTGGCCGTTTTGGACAGTCCGCTCTCGCCGCCCTCGGCCCGGCCGGGCTGGTGGTGCTGGTGCTGTTGGTGTTGGTGGTGTTTGCCGGGTTGTGCCGCCGCCGCCGCCTCCAGGCTCAGCCCCGGGGGCAGCTCGGGTTTGCTTTTGAAAAACTTGACGTATTTGTTCTCGTACCTGCACAGAAAAGAGCCCGTGAAGGGGCCGAGCTCCCTGTCCTGGGGGCAAAGACCCCTTCGTGGTACCACAGACCCCTTCATGGTACCACAGACCTCCTCCTGGGGCCAAAGACCCCCCTCCTGGGGCCAAAGACCCCTTTGTGCTACCACAGACCTCCTCCTGGGGTCAAAAACCCCCACCCTGGGGCCACAGATCCCTTCGTGGTACCACAGACCCCTTCCTGGGGCCAAAGACCCTCTCATCCTGGAGCCACACATCCCTTCGTGGTACCACAGACCCCTTTGTGGTACCACAGACCTCCTCCTGGGGCCACAGACCCCTTTGTGGTACCACAGACCCCCTCCTGGGGTCAAAAACCCTCTCGTCCTGGGGGCAAAGACCCCTTCGTGGTACCACAGACCCCTTTGTTCTACTACAGACCCCCTCCTGGGGCCAAAGACCTCTTCGTGGTACCACAGACCCCCTCCTGGGGTCAAAGACCCTCTCATCCTGGGGCCAAAGACCCCTTCATGGTACCAGAGACCCCTTTGTGCTACTACTGACCCCCTCCTGGGGCCAAAGACCTCTTCCTGGTACCAAAGACCCCTTCATGGTACCACAGACCCCTTTGTGCTTCCACAGACCCCTTCCTGGGGCCAAAGACCCCTTCGTGGTACCACAGACCCCCTCCTGGGGTCAAAGACCCTCTTGTCCTGGAGCCACAGATCCCTTCCTGGTACCACAGATCCCATCCTGGGTCCAAAGACCCTCTCGTCCTGGGGCCACAGACCCCTTTGTGCTACCACAGACCCCCTCCTGGGGCCAAAGACCCTCTCATCCTGGGGCCAAAGCCCCCTTTGTGGTACCACAGACCCCTTCATGGTACCACAGACCTCCTCCTGGGGTCAAAGACCCCCACCCTGGGGCCACAGATCCCTTCGTGGTACCACAGACCCCTTCCTGGGGCCAAAGACCCCTTCATGGTACCAGAGACCCCTTTGTGCTACTACAGACCCCCTCCTGGGGTCAAAGACCCCTTCGTGGTACCACAGACCCCTTCGTGGTACCACAGACACCTTCCTGGGGCCAAAGACTCCTTCATGGTACCAAAGACCCCCTCCTGGGGTCAAAGACCCTCTTGTCCTGGGGGCAAAGACCCCTTCGTGGTACCACGGACCCCTTTGTGCTACTACAGACCCCCTCCTGGGGCCAAAGACCCTCTCGTCCTGGGGTCAAAGACCCCTTCGTGGTACCACAGACCCCTTCCTGGTGCCATAGGTCCCTTCATGGTACCAAAGACCCCCCCCTGGGGCCACAGACCCCTTTGTGCTACCACAGACCTCCTCCTGGGGCCAAAGACCTTCTTGTCCTGGGGCCAAAGACCCCTTTGTGGTACCACAGACCCCCTCCCGGAGCCACAGATCCCTTTGTGGTACCACAGACCCCATCCTGGGGTCAAAGACCCCTTTGTGGTACCACAGACCCCTTCATAGGGTTAAAGACCACCCTACAGTACCAAAGACCCCCTCCTGGGGCCAAAGACCCCCCTGCCGTGGGGCCAAAGACCCCTTTTTGGTACCAAAGACCCCCCCCAGGGCCACAGACCCCTTTGTGCTACCACAGACCCCCTCCTGGGGCCAAAGACCCCTTTGTGGTACCACAGACCCCTTTATAGGGTTAAAGACCCCACCACAGTACCAAAGACCCCCTCCTGGGACCAAAGTCCCCCCCGCCGTGGGGCCAAAGACCCCC